GCCCAACAGAAATACTCCACGTGGATAACATTTACAATCAGGAGCTCCTCAGCTGCTCATTCCACCACTGAGTTTACAATGACTTATGGGTAGAAAAGCCATACCAAGTAATTTACTACACTGCAGGGGTCTATCCTGTTTGTGGTTCATTTGATTTCTTGAATGGATATACTCTCGTCTTCAACATATCAGAGAAATTCTCCTCCAAATAATTGACAATTTTCTCTGGTTTTATTTGTCTCTCTCTCGGTAGAGACAAATAACCTACATGTAGGTTATTCTTTTTGAGGGTTCACATGAACCTTAGGCTTCCTTCATTTTCTTTTGATCTTTTTTCTGACTGATCCCTTTCCAAAGATGTATTCAGGTATTTGTCTTCACTCTCACTAATTCTGTCTTCCACCAATTTGATTCTCCTTTGCTTGTTCAATGCATTATCTATTTCTGAGAATTCAGTATTAGTATCTCTGGATTTCTATCTGTAAATTTTGTATCATTTCTAATTTTTCATTTATTTTGTCATTTTGTGGTGGCCTAGTGCCTAAGGCATTTGATCGCTAACCAGAGGGCTGGTGGTTCAAACCCACCAGCCACTCCTCCAAAGAAAGACTGGGTAATCTACTTCCGTAGTGATACCATCTTGGAAACCCAAGAAGGGGTTGCTATGAGTTGGATCCGATTTCATGGCAGCAAGTACTGTCTTCCAAAATTGTTCTAGCGTTTTGTCTGTGTTTTCTTTGATTTTTTCAGTGTTTTTCTTGATTTGTCTCTCAATCCATTGAGGGTATCTAAATATAATTGTTTTGAATTCCTTATCAGGGTGTTCCAATGCTACTTCTTCCTCAGGGATGTGTTCTGGGTCTGTATCCTGAAATTATTCAATTTCTTACTATATTTTTTATTTTTTAAAGATTCACAATCTTTAATTTTTACATAAAAGTTTATTTTATCCAATTCTAAATATGTCATATCCATATATGCTTACCAAAATGCATTAGTTTTTCCTTCTTCTACTGCTTTTTCTATGGGTTCAAGAGAAAAGATACCATTTGGATCATCATTAGCTTCAATTATCACTGTAGCTATTCCATACTGATATACTACTGTATCACCTACATTAAAAAAGAAAAAATCAAAATGTCAAAAAGGTAGTTAACCTTCTATTACATTTATATTTTTCATTAAAAAATAGTCCATAATTAAGTTCAAATTTTCAGCAAGAATTTACTTACTATAAGTCATACAATAAATATAAAATATTACTATATTTCTCTGAAGAGATTACATACAACACACACACACACACACACACATATAAAGAGATAAAGATGCCTAATAAGTTAAATGTGAAATAGTTCCTATTCTTGTCTTTTGAGAAAGTATTTAATTACAAAGGAACTATATTACTGAAAAAAATATATACACTCTTCTTCATAACAGGATGATTTCTACAGCTTATTTAGAAATCAAAAGGTACATTTTTCTAATTTCAAATTTTTAAGTAATTTTTTATGTAACAAAAATGAAAAAGGAATATCCCTTAACATAAACATACTCTTGTCTATAGTGACTGCTAGGAGCTCTGGTAGCATAGTGCCTAAGGCACTTGACTGCTCACCAGAAAGCTGGCAGTTCAAACCCACCAGCCACTCCTCAGAAGGAAGGTAGGGCAATCTACTTCCATAGTGATATCGCCTTGGAAATCCAAGGAGGGATCACTGAGTTGGGTCCAACTCGATGGCATAGTGACTGGAACCACTAGTTCAGGTTTTCTTCTTAGATTTCTGCCTTTAGGGAATACAGTTTGATCTGATCATTCAAAGAACTATGAAATCTCTACTGTATTGAACTTGATTCTCCTCTATACCAATTCTTTTCACAGCAGGTAGCACCATTATTGCCTATATATTAGATCTCTGCTAGTCACTTCCTTGAGGTTGATGTATCTTTGCTTTTGCTCTAGCTGTTCCCTATGTAAGCAAAAGCCCTTCCCATCTTAAGTCACCTGGCTAATTCTTAGTCATTCCTCAGGACCCAGATCAAGCAACAATTCTTCAAAGAATTTTGAATTAGTTAAGCTAAGTATCTTTCAAATGTGTCCTCGCAACACTTTGCGCTATGTGAACCTATAATAACCATTATCACATTATACTCTTCTACACATACAGAGAGAAAGAGACAGACAGACATATCACTTGACTGTAAGCTCCTTAGACAAGTGCACATCAAATCCCATGCCATAGAAGAGTAGATGCTCAATAATTGGTACATTATTGTACATTATTGGTACATAAATCCCTGGGTAGTGAAAAGGGCTAAAGTGTTCGCTATTAACAAAAGCATTAGTTTGAGTTCACCCAGAGGTGCCCTGGAAGATAAATGTGGCATTTTACTTAAAAAAATCAGCCACTGAAAGAAAGTCAAAGATGCATCATAGAAACACTTAGTCCAAGGGACTGGTGGACCATGGGAACCTCAGCCTACACAATTGGGAGACCAGCAAAACTAGATGGTGCCCAGCTACCACTACCAACCACTCAGATATTGTTTGTTGTTGTTGTTGTTTGCCGTCGAGTTGGTCCCGACTCATAGCGACCCCTCCTTGGGTTTCCGAGGCAGTATCACTATGGAAGTAGGATTGCCCAACCTTCCTTCCGAGGAGTGGCTGGTGGGTTTGAACCACCAGCCTTCTGGTGAGCAGTCAAGTGCCTTAGGCACTATGCTACCAGAGCTCCTAGCACTCAGATAGGGATTAAAATTGAAATTCCTGTAGAGTAGGAGAAAAATATGGAACAAAACTCAAAATCATGAAAAGATAGAGACTGGTGAAAGCCCCAAGACTATGGCCCCAAGTCACCTGTCAAGCCTGAAACTGAACTCACTCCTGTGGCTTTACCTTCATCTAAACAATAGACAGGTCTACAAGGTGAACAATTACACCAGTTAGTATACTCCTTAAGACAATCAACCATAGGAGATCAAAAGGGCAGCAACTGCCCAGGGAGAAATCTTAAAAGGCCACAGGTTAAAGGTAACCACAGGGAGAATATGGGAATGGAGCAGCTACATTGTGAGGACTGCATTCAATGATATGTAACAAAACGTGCATGAACTGTTGAATGGAAAAAGAATTTGCTTAGTAAACTTTCACCCAAATCACTAAAAAAAGTTAAAAAAAAAAAAAAAACCCAGCCCTTGAAAACTCTATGGTCAGACAGCCAACAGTTACTTTAAAACAATGATGAGAATGTAAGGAGGCAGAGAAACTAGATTAATGGAAATGGAACAACCACAACAGGAATAGTGAGAATGCTGGGAGCTATGGTGTTATAGTGCCCAAGGCATTTGACTGCTAACCAGAAGGCTGGTGGTTCAAACCCACCAGACACTCCTTGGAAGGAAGACTGGGCAATTTACTGCCATAGAGACACTGCCTCGGAAACCCAGTGAAGGGTCACTATGAGTCGGGATCAACTCAATGGCAGTGAGTTTGGTTTAGTTTTTTAGTCACACATTGTGAAGAATTTAACCAATGTCACAGAATAACTTATATAGAAATTGTTGAATAGGAACCTAAACGTCTGTGTACACCTTCACCAAAAGCACAATGAAATATTATTTTAAAAAGAAAACCCTGTAGAGCACAGTTCTACTCTAACACAGATAGTGTCACCAAAAGTTGGAATTGACTCAATGGCAAGTGGTTTTTATAAGTTATTTATGATGTTAGCTGAACTCATGCACATGAAACTTTCAAAATTATATGAGGACAACACTTAAAACCAAAATGATAGAGACAGGAATTCTATATATAGTCATCATATTAAAAAAAAACTTATACATACACAACTTTAAGGAGCTCTGGTGGCCTAGTCCCTAAGGCATCTGACTGCTAACCAGAAGGTTGGTAGCTCAAACCCACCAGCCATTCTGTACAAGAAAGACTGGGCAATCTACTTCCATAAAGATTTAATGCCTCAGAAACCCAATGGGGGTAGCTATGAGTTGGAGCCAACTTGATGGTAGTGGGTTTGGTTGTTTTGTTTTGTTTTGTTTGGGGAGGGTGGAGGATATAACTTTACTCATCCTCACTTTATAAGTGACTAAAGAAAAGGGAAAAAAAAATTAAGTAGATAGTAAGTCAGACATTACAGAATAGTAAAATAACAAAGTACCATACCATATAATCTATCAAAAAATAAAGAAAAATAATAAAATCCAATTTGACTGAGTTCTACTACTATATACATGTGTGTGATATTATGAACATGTCACTAGCTATGCTAAAAATTCATTGTTTTTCTATAGGGCAAACTGACAATTTTTAACAAGTGCTCTAAAGATGGTTACATCCCATGACATAACAACTCAATCATAGGACATACACTCTAAGCAATAATTACCAAGAAAAACAACCCCTGCTAGCACTTGACATATTAGATGCACTGACCATCACCCTCCCACCATAGGTCTCTCAGGCTCTTCATGTTTAAAGAACATAAACAGAACAGAAAAGAGGAAGAACTAAGAAAGTATGAGTAAAAGCACAAAATCCAGAGATTTTAATCATGTGGTTCTTCATAGCTAAAATCACTGGATCCTCAGATACTATCATTTCTAGAACAAAATATTGTGACAAATGCAAGGGCGATATGGATACACACACATACCTAAACCAGTCACCAGTCATTCCTTCTCTCCCTCTTTGTCTCTCATCAAAAATATGCTTCCCCAACAACACATTTTAAAAAGTAAACAACATAAATCTCTCCTTCAAAGTCCTTTTCCATTCCCTTTACAAAAGTTCAGGATGTTTTGATCTATTATTAACCTTGGTAACATTTTGTCCCTGAAGATATTTTTGGGACTCAAAATTTTCATAACAATTACACCAAATTAATAAATTTCATCAAGAACTTATTTTGAGAGTAAATTCTACTAGGACAATATCAGTCTATCATCAACTTTCTATACCTCAAAGCAAAACTTTCTTTCACCAAAATTACTTTTGTGTAAAAATGGCTTTCTTATAAATTTGACAATTATTTGATTCATCAAGTAATTTTTGTCTACATAAAATTTGGCTAATTATGTTTTTACAATTGTGAAATCTCTTTTGTGGCTATTACTCGATTTTTTTTTTCCCTCACCAGGTGATAGTTTTTAGTTTTAACATTTTTGGTTTTCTTGGTTAAGCCCTGTAAAAAACAGGAGACAGAGAAAGGCAAAAGGAGAAAGACAAGTGGAATAGGAAGAAAAATAAATGGAGACAAAGAGATACAGAGAATGGTAGAGAGAAATACCAAAAACAAAAATCAAATCTTTTTCTTTTCCTCATCCTCTCCCTGAATGAGCACAGAGCAGGGAGAGAGAATGCATGACTGGTGACTGGCCCAGGCATGGGTGTGCATGCTTCCTTATTGGAGAAGAAGAGCTCCTTTCCCAACTAGGTTACCACTGGCCAAATCTGGAACAATTTGAATATCAAAATCAGTAATGATTGTAACAAAATAACCACTTCATTAAATAGAAATCATGAGTCCATAGTGATAAATAATTGAAAACTGAAAATTTTAAAGGACCTTTCATAAAATATATATCAGTTACCAAAGAAAAAGTATTTTACAGTGAGAAGACTGGCAATCACCACCTTAACAGTTGTCAAAGAGAGTATCACAGTAAAGGGACAAATCAAAATCATGTGCCAACTGACAGGATATGGTAAGAATACAGCATTACTTCTGTGAAATTCCTGTGAAGGATGCATAACTTGAATCTTCCAGTCATGAGGAAACATCAAACAAACCCAAAATGAGGGATATGCTACAAAATAACTAGCCTGGAATCTACTATACTGAGAAACTCCCAGATTGAAGAGATTAAAGAGACATGACAATTAAATGCAGAGCATGATTTGGGGCTGGATCATTTTGCTAGAAACTGTTTTATTGGGACAACTGAAGACATTTGAATGGGGTCTGAGGATTACATGGCAATAATTGTTTTAATGTTAACTTCCTAATTTTCAGAAATGTTATATTGTGGTCATGTAGAGGAGTGCCTCTGTTTGTAGGAAAAACACACCAATGTATTCAGGGGTGATTATACATTATGTCTGCAACTAATTCTCAAAAGATGCAGGGAAAAAAACTGCATTCTTAAAAGAACAAAACAAATTTCAAGAGAAGCTCTAGCCCTCCCAGTTTAATAAAGGTGAGGTCAAAATATTTTCAAGATCCACATAGTGGAGTCAAAACATCCTGCTTGATCCATAAGATGGAAAAGAAAGAAAAGCCTATTACTTCCTTTTGTACATTATAATTCATATTGACTACAATACCAGAGAATTATCAGTCCGTTGTATCCAACCACCTACAGAACACTGCTTCCCAACCAGTGTCCCCAGCACTCTGCTATGAGGGGAAATTGTTATAAAATACCAATCCGTTAAGCTCTTGAGTGAGTAGGGAAGGCCTAGAACAGCTATATTCCTAAGATTCATTGTTTAGCTATGTGTCCCCTTTCTAATATAATTTTCTAATTGTGTTATATTGTGAAAAAGTTTGAAAAATATTGTCAAAGTGTTCCAGATACACATATTCCTCACCCTAACCCTCAAAGAAATTGAATAATAGTAATAATCACCTTGCTGTTGTCCAGTCACAGGTAACAGTAAGTACTACTTACTTACCATTGTACAGCAGTACTTGTCATCTCAACAAAACACTGAACCAACAGACTTGCCTTAAAAACATAATTTATTTACCTGTTGAATTAAAGAGAATTATATAAAAGGACTCATCCGTTTCTGGGATATTATCTTCATTAACATATACAGATATGTTCTGCTGTCTTCTTCCAACCTCAAACACGAGTGTTTCCCCTTTCTCAAAAGGAACAAAGTCTCCCTCTCTTGCAGTTGCTTTCCCATCCACGGTGGCATATTGGACAGTGCAGGCAACATCAACAGACCCATTTCTGACAACAGTAAAGTAAGCAGTCCCACCTTCTTGAACCTTCACTACATGAGGTTCTGAAAAATCCATAAAGAAAAGAAGGAACTAGTGAGTGTTTTGATTTCATCTACATATTTTCAAATCATTATGTCTTCACTTTACATTTCCCTCTGTCCTTTGCCATAAGAAATGTTCTCTACTGAGTCTTTGCTTGAAAAATCAGCCTATTCCCAACTCCACCATGAGGCTTCTTCTGATTACTTCAATAGTCAATGACCTTCCTCTTTCCTTAATTCTTACAGGATCCAGTCTTCAACACCAAATTTGGCAGTTAATTACCTACCTTTTTAAAATCATCTTCCTATTGTTTCATATATCTTATTTCCAAATTTAGACTTAAAGTGCCTTAAGAACTTTAAGATATCTTTTATTTTTGCCACAGCAGATATCAGAAGGCTAAGTACAGGACCAATTCATTAATTATATGTTAACTGAAGGTTAATAATATGAATCAATAAAATTTAGGAGGTTTAAAAAATTTCCACAATGGTAAAGTTGACCTTTATATAGCTTTAAAAACAAGTTTAAATTAAATCTCATAAATAAAATTAAGAAATGCTTCAAGTGAAGGGGATCTATGTAGGAGACCCTTGATATAGAGGGAGAACAATGTAGAACAAAACTCAAAAATCATTTGGAGGAAAAAAAAAAAAGGTGGGGACCAGGTTTGCTGGTCCGATAGAGCCTCGTGGAACCACTGAGACTATGGCCCCTAGCTGCCCTTCAGGTCTGGAATTGAACTCACACCTGTGGTTTTCAGCCAAACAAAATACAGGCATATGAGTTAAACATTTACCTCAAGTAGATACAGTCCTTGGAGAGAACAATCATAGGAGAAAGAAAGGCTGCTTATGCACAGGGTGACAGCTCAGGAGGCAGGAGTGTATGGAGGGATGGACACTGGGAAGAGGTAACTATGGGGAGGAAGTGGGAGGGGAGCTGTTGCATTGTGGTAAACTGTGGTCAATGACATGAGACAAAGTATACGTGAACTGCTGTATGAAAAGTGAATTTGCTCTGTAAATCTTCACCCAAATCACAATAAATAAATAAATAAATAGATAGATAGATATAACTAAAAAAAAAAAAAAAGAAATGCTTCAAGTGGCAAATAGCTCTAAAGATAGTTTCAAAGTGAAAAAATATGGAGAAACTTTAATTTATATGTCCACTAAGTATTAATAAGCATAACATGTGACAAGCCATTAACTATAATATCCAGGTCTTGACCCAGCTGAACTATGTATGGAATAAGAGTGTTTTTTGCACAAAAAGGAGAAGAATAAAACCTAACAAAATAGTACTTTTATTTTATTATTTCCCCTCAGAAGACCTTCAAAAATATTTTTAAAACAAACTGAAAAAGAATCATCTGAACAAATCTTGAAATCACACTTAAACAAGTATTAATTGCACTGTAACTAAAACGTTAAGTTAAAAATTCATATAATTATAACTTAACACGTATGCTGGTTAGAAAGATGCAGTCTCAGTCAAGTAAGATAGAAATACTACCTGCAAAATAAATGGGGTCATCATTTCTTCTAATCCTCAGAGTTGCAGTTGTTTTATTTCCTATTTTAGCTCCTCCAGTGACATTAAGTAGGGTAATGGTAAATTCTTCCATTTCCTCTGGAATCTTTTGGAAAACATGTTACATGGGTTCAAAGTCAGCTACATATAGTTATATTATATATTCCTAAATTATTTTTTTAATTGTTTAAAGGGCCCATTAATTATACTAATATTTATTTCCACTTCTGAGGGAGAACCACTGTGTTGTTGTGTTGTTGTTAGGTGCCATCAAGCCATCTCAAACTCATAGTGACTCTACGCACAGCAGAACAAAACACTGCCCAGTCCTGTGCCACACTCATGATCCTTGCTATACATGAGTCCATCATTGCAGCCACTGTGTCTATCCATCTCATTGAGGGTCTTCCCCTTCTTTGTTGACCCTCCACTTTACCAAGCATGATATACTTCTCCACAGAATGGTTCCTTCTGACAACATGACCAAAGTAGGTGAGACAAAATCTGGTCATTCTCACTTCCAAGAAGCATTCTGGCTGCACTTCCTCCAGGACAGATTTGTTAGTCTTTTTAGCAGACCATGGTGCCCTTAGCATTCTTCTCCAACACCACAACTCAAAAGCATCAACTCTTCTTTGGTCATCCTTATTCATTGTCCAGCTCTCACATGAATAAGAGGCAATTGAAAATGCCATTGCTTGGGTTAGGCTGCACATTAGTCTTCAGAGACACCTTTGCTCTTCATCACTTGAAAGAGGTCCCTTGCAGCAGATTTGCCCAATGCAATATGGCATCTTATGTCTTGAATGCTGCTTCCATTGGCATTGATTGTAGAACCAAGTAATATGAAGTCTCTGATAACTTCCCTCTTTTCTCCATCCACTGTGAAGCAGTTTACTGGACCAGTTGTGAGGATTTTTGTTTTCTTTATATTGAGGTATAATCCATACTGCAGACTGTAGTCTTTAATCTTCATCAGTAAGTGCTTCAAGTCATCCTCACTTTCAGCAAGCAAAGTTGTGTCATCTGCATATTGCAAGTTGTTAATGAGTCTTCCTCCAATCCCGATGCCACATTCTTCTTCATATAATCCAGCTTCTTGGATTACTTGCTCAGCATTCAAGTTGAATAAGTATGGTGAAAGGATACAACCTTGACACACTCCTTTCTTGATTCTGAACCATGCAGTACCTCCTTGTTCTGTTCGAACAACAACCCCCTGATCTATGTACAGATTCCTCATGAGTACAATCAAGTATCTGGAATTCCCATTCTTCTCAATGTTATCCACAATTTGTTATGATCCACACAATCAAATACTTTTGCACATCAATAAAACATAAGTAAACATCTTCCTGGTACTCTTTGCTTTCAGCTAAGATTCATCTGACATCAGCAATGATATGCCTCATTCCACCTCCTCTTCTGAATCCAGCTTGCATTTCTGGAAGCTCTCTGTCAATATACTGCTACAACCGTTTTTTTAATTATCTTCAGTAAGATTTTACTTGCATGTGATATTAATGATATTGTTCAGTAATTTCCACATTCTGTGGGATCACCTTTCTTTGAAATGGGCACAAATATAGATCTCTTCCCATCAGTTGGCCAGGTAGCTGTCCTCCAAATCTCTTGGCACAACTGAGTGAGCGCCTCCAGCAGGGCATCCATTTGTTGAAACATCTCAATGGGTACTCCATCAATTCCTGGAGGCTTGTTCTTCGCCAATTCCTTCAGTGCAGCTGTGGATTCTTCCTTCAATACCATTGGTTCTTGATCATATGCCACCTCCTGAAATGGATGAACATCGACCAATTCTTCTTGGTAGTGACTCTTTGTATTTCTTCCATCTTCCTTTGATACTTTCTGCGTCATTCAATATACAGCCCATGGAATTTTTCAAAACTCAAGGCTTAATTTTTCTCCTCAGTTCTTTCAGGTTGAGAAATGCCAAGCGTGTTCTTCCCTTTTGGTTTTGTAACACCAGGTCTCTGCACATTTCATTATAGTAATTGTCTTTGTCTCCTCGAGTTGCTCTTTGCAATCTTCTATTCAGCTCTTTTATCTTGTCATTTCTTCCATTTGCTTTAGCTACTCTTTGCTCAAGGGCAAGTTTCTGAATCTCTTCTGACATCCATTTTGGTCTTTTCTTCCTTTCCTGTCTTTTAAATGACCTTTCGCTTTCTTCATGGATGATGTTCTTGATGTCATCCAGCAGTTCCTCTGGTTTTCGGTAACTGGTGTTCAATGCATCAAATCTATTATTTAATTGGTCTCTAAATTCAGGACGGATATTATCAAGGTCATATTGTGGCTCTCATGGGCTTGTTTTAATTGTCTTTAACTTCAACTTGAACATGTGTAGCAGAAGTTGAACCACTGTACAGTATTGAATTAAGATTCAGACCAAAAAAAAAAAAATCTTTTTTTTAATGTGTATTTATCCCAACAGCCACATTTTTTTACTAACTATAAAATTCAATGGAAATAGAGATATTTTGCCTTATATAACTAAAAATGGAAATCTTACAATCTATTATTTCTATAAGAAACTGAAAATGTTGTTTACCAATAAAAAGGGAACAGAAGTATAACTTTTTTATATTTGTTTAGAACATAATTCATAACAGTAACTAAAGCTCAGCTAGCTGTGGAAGGCCTCTGAACCGCCTTACTGAGGTGTTACCCAAGAGGGTCACAAAGATCTCACTCCTATTTCATATCAAGAAGAGATTCCCCACAGCTCTGGGCCTAAGTGTATGCCAACGTGGACAATGTTTCTCCTTTACTTCATGCATATGAGCTCATCTTTTCCTTACTCTAAAACTGGGATTTTTGTTTTCTCTTGTGGAATGAATGTGAGGAAAGGAGGCAGGCCACTTGTCCTAAAGCCACAGCTGTCCTTTCCCCTCAGAAAGGTTCACTCTCCATTGTTGCTAAATTCTCTAACAATAGCATCTTCTTTCTCTTCACTATTAATAAGAAGGAGCACCATGCTGGATCCATGACCCATCTGGCTCAGCATCCTGATTCTGAGAGCACCACAGGACACCTGTGTGAAATCTTGATAGATGGTGACCTTGTCATCCCACAGTCTACCTACTAACCCAGGAATTTACCTTCTCCACAGCCATGAATCCCTGATATTTGGCACATATGTAGTGTCACTGACCTCTATCACTTTCAAGAGCTAAGAATGCCTTTAAAGGAATGAAAACATAGTATTCCTCTTTAGCCTGGGGTCATATTATTAAACCTGAGTTCTTTTTCACTTATTTCCATAACAAAATTATTACCAGGTATTTAATCATTTAATAAAAAACAATTATTGCACAACTAAAACAAATAAAGCAGAGTCTATATATGCAATATTTACCTCATCTGGTAGGGAATAAATGGTGATATTTTTTGAAAATTCCTGATCTCCAAAGAAAACAGTCCCTTGGATGGGAAATACATCTTGTGTGAAGTTTGGACTAACCACCCATGATACACTAACATCACCAAAGTTGCCTCGATTTCTTACTACATCATAAACAGCTGTGAAATACAAAAATATATAATATGCATGAATATATATCAAGCATTTTTTAAATGACGAGTAAACAGATGTTAAAACAAATAAAAGTGAAAAATAAGACTTTTTAAAAAATAAAGGCCTATTATTTGTTAGTATAGTATCCAAGGTACATATAAAACTGTATTAGCAAAAAGACAATATTATTTTTTTTAAGTGTATTAGCCTAGTCCTCCCTCTGTAGACTTAAAACTCACTGCCGTCAAGTCAGATCCAACTCACAGCAACCCTTCCTTGGGTTTCTGAGGTGGTATCACCACAGAAGTAGATTGCCCAATCTTCCTTCCATGGAGTAGCTGGTAGGTTTGAACCACCAGCCTTCTGGTTAGCAGTCAAATGCCTTAGGCACTATGCCACCAGAGCTACCTCTAGACTTACATCATATCAAATAAATAGAGTCAAACTTTTCTACCACTGTTTGGGATTTTAAGTCATTCACCTAAAGGAGCAGTTTGGTGAGTAGTAAGATGCACCTGTCACAAAGTCATATAATGATATGTGCTATAGGCAGCTAGAGAAAGCTGCACCCTCAAAAGTTATTTTCTTACCTAGCTAGACCCTGCTCTACAAAGAAAATACTTCTCACATCTGGCCACTTTAATAGTTCTAACAGTAATTTAGCTTTAAAGTTCCTTTATTTGATTTAGTTCATTCTTGAGTGTTTGAGTTCCACTGCATAGGGTGAAGTGAAATCAAAATAACACTGAAGTCATCTGTATCACACTACTTACTACACAGGAAATAAAAATACAACACAAAATGTGACTGAAAAAAAGACCAATCTGTACACTACATGTACTTTCTAAGGAAGAATGGGCAACTGAAAAGCTAGTTAATAAAAAAGATAAATTAAAAAAATGATTTATTTCTTCCTTGGTTAACAGCAATAGAATATAGGAAGGAGAATAAATTACCACTATAGGTATCCTCTCCTTTACTTTCATTTATCAAGACAATTAAGCCATCAGAAACAAATTCTATAATCCCATGAGGATCATCATTTTTCTGAATTGTTATGTTGACAACCGTAGCACTTCCCAACTTGCTTTCCCGTTCACCATGACTGCTGAGGACCACCCAATAGTGTTCATCCAACTAAATTGAGTAGATAAAATTAGGAAAAATATAGAGTTGAAAATTTTAGAATAAATGAAAACTATATATTCAAGAACATTAGTATATTCAATTTTTCA